ATCAAGGGAAACGTTTAGACTGTATGTGTTCGCTGTTCTTTATGAACTGACCAAATTACCATGCTAGAGGTTTGGGGCTGGTAAAAGTTCTGACTGAGATGGGTATATGAGGATGTAATAAAGAGCAATAGCTAAATCTTCCCAGGAGAACATCTTGTAATATTCACTGTGAGACAGATTATTGGCATATCTAATATAGCATAATCTGATGCACATCCTATAATTTTAATCTCTCATGCCTTTTTCATAATGGATTGATTTTACTTTTGATTTTTGATTTTACTCCTGCACATAAATCTGTTTCTTTACTGTAGCTTAAACCACTTAAGTCACTTACAAACTCAGTGATTTGAAAATTGAAAGTTTGCTTGCCACAATATGTAGTTACACGATGTTTTCAAATGGCAGTATGTATGTGCAGATATATACCATATTTTTCTGCATATAATGTGTACCCACATTTTTGGCCCAACCTTTCTGAGGAAAAAAAAATTTGTTTTAATTTTTGAATTCCAGTTTTTATTTTTTTACATTTTGGCTCTTGTTTTTTGTATTATAAAGGAATTTTAGCATTTATTTTTGACATATTATGGTACAAGAAATTTTATGTACCAGTAACAAATTTTATGATATTTACACATTATAAAGGCCAAGAACTCTTCATTGTTACAAGTTCTTCATAAGTTCAACAAAACTGATTATCGTATTCCAGGGTATTATTTTGAATATGGATATCATTATTAATTTCTAGAGTTACACTTTTAACTCATAAGCATAAAGAAAAGGATTAAAAACATTTATATAGATAGGGAGTTAGTACTACCCATGTATAATGTGCATCCTTATTTTTCCCTCACAAATTTGGGCAAAAAAGTACATTATACACTGCAAATATGGTACATACAGATATATATACAAATATATTGAAAAGGAGAGTGTATGTGTGTATCCTTTATATTATAATAATTTTAAATTTTCTTTGGGAGGCAAAAAGGAATATAATCTAAAAATCCATAGTATTTTAGATATCTTCATATCACATTATTCACAGCATTTCTCAATATCATGCACAACTCCATAATTAAATCACGATATTTAACTGTTTGGTTTGGTTTGGTTTGATAGATTCCCATAAATCCTGTAACACTGGATGCTGGTGACATAGCTGCATTGCTCAGATGGTCCACTGATGATGTTTTACAGTATTGGTGGCTGATGAGTAAAGCAGGGCATTTTGCTGCCAGTCACAAAGATATGGTCATCGATGCTGCCCTCTGCTGGGCTAATTATAGTATAGCCTCCATCCAAGCTCACTTATTTATTTTTATTATAAAAGGGGAACTTAAAGTCCTAATGTAAAACAATCCCCATGGTTTTAGCAATAAAGCAGGTAAACATTTAAAGGAATTTCTTTTTTTTAAATCTATATTTTTGTATATAATTTAGAATTTCCTGTCTATATGGATATTTTACTTAGAAGTGAGTCCATTGCTTTCCTCTTTCTGTTTTTGACAGATGTTTACCCCTGAATCTTATTTACTCATTTGCCTCCCTCCATTATATGACCCCTGGCTTTGATTCAAATATGTGTCTACATTATTAATGACACAGGAGATATGAAGTAATTTCCCTTGATACAATTATAAAATTAAGCATTACTGAATGAGATTTTTAATACATAGATTCAGTGATGCTGCATCAAATTAGCAGCATGTTCTTTAAAAATAAAAATATTTACAGTAAAACACACAGGATGTAGCCATTCTGACATGACTATTGGAGCAGGTTATATTATAGTCCTTGCCATTTTATTGTTATGCACGGTGCTTAAATATATTTCACAATTTTTCTTTAGAATGGAGTTCTATGAAACTTGAAAGGTTTAAATGAAATGCATTCCTGGTGTTTAAAAACTACTTAAATAGTTTTATAGGTCCTCTTTTTCTTTTCAGTTTCAAAAGAAGTGTAAGGTTCTCAGGTGGTCTAAATTTTAGTATGCTGCCTCAGAGATATGAAAGATCTAACCTTGCTAAACATATAAAATGGTACTTGTTTATAATAAACATTGATCGCTAAGTTGTGTTGTTTGTTCTGTTACATCAACACCAAGTCTTGTAAGTTTATCTGACAGTTGTTTTTTTCTAGTCAAGAAAGCACTGAGAAAAATGTCTGTCTCAATTTGCCTACAGAGAATGTTTTAATAACCCATTTCTCCCTTCTTTTTAGGCTGACTGGAAGCTTTGTGCCAGACTTGATAGTGAGCATGAGTAGCCAAATGTGGCTGCACCTTCAAACAGATGAAAGTGTTGGATCCGTTGGCTTCAAGGTTAACTACAAAGGTAATGATGAATTGCTGCTTGGGAAATATGTTATCTTAATACTACCAGAGAATACTTTAAAATTCTAGTTTAATTGCATCTACAAAATAAGTTCCCCGGAACACAAGTAAGACTATATTAAAAAAAATGCTTTCCTCTTTAAATTAACTACAGATATTTACTTTACTTTTCTTTACATAAAACAGTTTTGTCTTTTTCTTTAACATTTGTCTATTTTGCATACTTCATCTCTACCCCAGTCCTCTATTCTATCCCTATGCTTTAAGTCACGCTGGACTCCTAGCCTTTCCCAGAACAGACAATGCAATGTTGTGTACTTTATACAGTTTGCCTGGCAAAAAATTATACACTAATGATTATATACTTAAATAAGAAGTAAAGGACTTAATTTCTCAGGGAATTCAGGGTACTCTTTTTTGTAATCTATGATTCTCTCAGATCCAGTATTTGGTCTTAGTGTTCAGATTATCGACACCTCTGTAAATCATAGACCACAAATGTGTGAAATTACTTCTGCCCATCTCAGCGTTGGGGTGATACAGACTGATGATTAATTACATGTTTATAACAAACTCTTTTGTTCTAATTCCATTTATAAGAGATAGCGGTAAGCATTGTGAAATCGTGAATATCTTTGACACATGATGAACCTTGATTAAAGTTAGAAACAGTGTACGACGTACATAATAGAAATTCTAATTCAGAAGTCTTACTGAAAAAATATGTAAATGTTAATAAATTCAATTAAAATCCATGCTTTAAAAGATGAAAATGTAAAAGAGACCATCAGAACATTGTGATTTGAATTTATTATTTCTATTGTGGTAACAATCATTATTCTCTAGTTTATTAATTTAAAAAGCGCTGTACAAAGTTCTCTTACTTGCATAATAATATTTTTTAATCAGAGCTTCCTTTTTCAAACATTAGCTTGCCCTGCTTTTGTGTCTGGACACATGGAAATGAACGCATGGTGTTGTCAGGGAGACAGGACACGTGCATTTTGTGTTTTTAACTTGTGACTAAATCTGGTACTGTATTCATTTGAATAGTTCATGAATTCCGTATAAATGTCAGTTTAAAAAAATAAAAAGGTTAGCATGATTATAATTGAAAATATATGCCCCCTCCATTTAAAATCTACATCTTTCCCCAGTAAATAATGTTACAACATTTAAAGGATTTTCAGCTTATGCTTAAAGTGTCTACATCTTGATTTTTTGTTTCCTGTTTTGTTATTTGAGCCTGGCATACTTATATTCCTCTTGGTTTTATTAGTTTCTTCACACTCTGGAAACCTGTGGTTGTCAGAAAACCTGTGGTTGCTTAAATCTTAGCAACTATATTAATCGTTAGTGACAATGCTTTAGAGAAGGACACAGTTAAAGTTTATGGACAGGTTGGGGAAGCAGGAGAGTTCTCTTGATATTTACAAACCTCTTCACTGCACTTCAAGAGCTGGCAGTACATTGTAAAGTAGCACAAATATTAGCATTATTTTGTTTTCTTTTTGCTCAGTTTGCAACAAGAGTAATTCGAAACATACTTCCTAAGGATCTGCTTATGTGCCAGCTATTGAGGAGTTGTTGAATACAGAAAGAAGGCACATGTCATCTCTCTGAGGAAGATCGTAATATAGTGACAGAGAAATGTGTACCCAACTATTCACGTACAAATATCCACAAAGCTGCGATATTTGACACCATCCTAGGAGATTCTTAATGACCAATTCTCTTATTCTTCTTCCTCCCTTCAATCTGCTCTCTTCCAATCTAATCTCCACACTTGCTAGTGGTGATCTCCCAACAGCAAAGAGGTAATGGTGTTACAATCTTACTTTCAGTGTTTCCATAACTTTTCATTGGCTCGAGATCGAGTCCAAAACCTCCGTAGATCTTATCTTCCAGCTTTCTCCACTCGTTTTATACTTTACCCTACAATCCAATTTTATCAAATTATCCGTAATTCTCTAAACCCAGTAAGTTCTTCCACTCCTCTCCTTCTCTGGACATTTAGTACCTTCCGTCTTGATCCCTGTTCTAATTTTAATTCAGCATCACATAACACCCTTCAAGACAAAGTTCAAATATTTCTTCTCTGAAGCTTCCCTTAACTCCACACGTCACAAAAGAACACTTCCTCTGTTTTATAAAAACGTGCTCCGTATATATACTATTATATAACCAGATGGTGAGATTCATATTCATCTTTATTTTCGCAGTAGCAGCCCCCAGCTATGTCATCCTAGGTGATTGATGATCATTTCTTCAATAAATCTGAACAAATGATGTAACCTATATAATATAATGCAGGATAAAATGTATCCTCAAACATTTATTTTACCATGGTTTTTTCCCCTCTGTGAAAATCATAGGTCTGTGTTCTCCATAATGTAAACCCTGAGCTCAAAGTTGAAGCAGGGTTCAGTTTGAGAAGTTTCAAATTTTGATATGCAGATAACTTCAGCAACTTCACCTACTAAAAATAATTTTCGTAATTACCATGCTCTCTGTTAAGTAGTGTGTTGGCTCTAAATGAAACACCTGCTAAAAAAACTTCCCAGATTTGATGTAAACATATCTTCTTTTTGTCATCAGTAGATTTTTCATGACATAGCATTGAATGTAGCTCTCCTGTAAATGAAACATATGTTTTATTTTACATATTCTCTTTTAGATTTAAAAAATTCGTAAAGTAACTAAATTATGTAATTTAGATTTTGTTTTTCACAATATATGTATTTTAATTCTTACATTGTGTTTCGCTAACTGCCTAAGGCAGTGTTTTTGCAACTTGATTTTAAAGAAAATAAGACTTCAAATGGATTCTCTTGTTAGAAACTGAAAATAGAAAAAGTTCAAAGCTGGAGTGCTCTGGTGTGATGAGCTTGGGAAGGAAGGTTGGCACCCCATCATTGGTCATACTGCCTCTTATACCCTCCAAATGTAGGATAAGCCCTAGTGCTCCAAAAAACATAATTTGAAAATGTCCTCAGACCATACTATTGACTGAGCAAAAATTCATCTATGAATATAAAATGATTCATAGTTGTCTAACTTGTCGTTATCTTTGGAACTAAAGTCTTAATCTTCGGAACTATCAATGCTTTTTTCCATAGAGTTTGGACAGTATACCTATCTTAAAATATAAGGCCACAAATGTTGCAAATCAAGAAGTAATTTTTATTATAAATGCAATTTATTCTTATTCAATTAGAATTCATTTAATGTTTATTATGTACCTGGCAGTGTGTGATTACTATATGTAATTGCAGAAATGAATAAAATGACACTGGACTCTTGAGATGTTTAATGATATCCCTTACTTGGTAAAACTAGTAATGTCTATGTTAGGTATAACAAGCCATAGCCATCCCAATTTACAGATTTATGAATTTGCCAAAATTATTATTTGAGACATGGTAATAGGTGTTTCTCCTAAAAAGGAAAAATAGCCTAGCCATCCATCTTGCCCCATTGTCTTTAAAGACATTAATTTTGTTTTCTGGTTGTTATACTGTCATTATTTCTAATGCATAATAACCAGGAAGGAAGCAAAAGAGAAGGTAGTTTTTCTTCCCTAATGGAAACATTAGCACCCATTAACACAGTACTAATTTTGGGACATATTTTTATTTTTATGTTAGAAAACAAAGAATAATTAACTTAAAAGAATAATTAATAATTACTAAGAGACTTCATATTGCAATCAGTTTGCCTACATTAACTGATTATGTCTCATTAGAACTCTAAGACGTAAAAATGATTACTCATTTTTACAGATCAGAAAACTGAAAGCAACAAAGGAACAAGACAAAGAAACACAGACTAATAGACACAGACAACAGTTTAGTGGTTACGAGAGGGTAACGGGGGAGGAGATGGTAGATGAGGGTAAATGACATCAAATATTTGGTGATGGAAGGAGAACTGACTCTGGGTGTTGAACACACAATGTTATATACAGATGATGTATTACAGAACTGTACACTTGAAACCTATGTAACTTTACTAACTGTTGTCACCCAAGTAAACTTTAATAAAAAAAGAAAAAAAAAGTAAAAAGAAAGAAAGAAAACTGACTGGGATGTAAGCATGATGATGATAAGAAATTTGGTCTGTTTTGCTCACTGTTGTATACCCATTACCTAGCACCATGCCTAATACACAGTAAGCACTCGATAAGTATTTGTGAAATGTGTGAATGAATATGAGTGTCAGATCTGCAGAGCCTAGATGCACCTCTAAGTCTGTTGACTTCATTTTGTTCTCCATTATGCAATATTACTTCCTAGCTCTACTTCAGGGGATTCAGAAACAGAAAGTTCAAAGCCAGGAGACAAGCTGAAGAAACTAATCATTGTTAAAAGCTTGAGGGCTTTAAATGACTGAGCTCCCACTGTCTCATCAGCCACAAATAAAAGTAAAGTGTGCATACATGCATGTGCGTGTGCATGCTTGCGCACATGTGTGCATGTGCACACACACACAGCACCTGATTTCAAACGTAAATTTTATTTCCATATGGTTACTTGATATTGTTTAGGAATATTTAGGAAGAGAGCTTAAAATCTATACCAGAGGCAGGCGTATAAAGGAAAATCTTTAACATCTATAGAGCTCTAAAAGTGGTAATATCTCCTTTTTTTAGAAATCAGACATTGTAATTGTTTAATTTTCAGTTGTGTGATAGTGTACATTTTCAATAACATAGTATTAATAGAAAACATTTATTGAGTGGTTATCTACTTTTGTAAATACACAGATCGTCTCATTTAATTAGCTACAACAAACCTACCATTGTGACTATATGGATGAAGTAATTGAGGCACAGCAAGTTAGGTAATTGGTTCAAGGTCATATGGCTACTATGTGGCAAAATTAAGATATAACTCTGAATTCTATGTTTTTAGATAGTTGCCTTTTAGAAACTTTATATTATTTCCATAAATAATATAGCTTAAACTTAGCTTAAAGTTAAATTTATTTCAATACTTAAAT